GGTAAGTTTGTTCTGATTGCCTTTAATTAAATAGATTTATTAAAAATATAAGTTAAATGTATCAGTATGTAAACTACGACCTACTGTCATAGACACATGTTCAGGATGGAAAAAAATTTTGCGTTTTTTCGATCTCATATGAAAGAGCAAACATTTCTAAGTAACATGGCTTTTGGCGATACAGTAACTACTTGACTGCATAATGACGCAAAGATATTCAAAAGATGTTTGTCGTCCAGTGCAGCAAAGATATTTCAAAAATAGCCCGAAACGTCCGGATATGATGACTCATCACTGAACATGTGTCTATAACAGTAGGTCGTAGTTTACGTGCAATGGCTGATAGACTCTTTCCCACCCCTTCACACATCGTGCGAAACAGTGAAAAGCCTGTCTTAGATTTATCTTATATTTTTAATAAATTTATTTAATTAAAGGCAATCAGAACAAACTTACCAAGGACATTATGGAAAACATTTCGGTGATTACCTTTGAAAATGAAATATCCAGCTTGATCGAGCAGTCTAATACAACAATACCGCCAGTATGTGTCGTTGACATTACTGGCGGATCACAAAGATCGCTTCAAGCTGAATCGTCAGAATAAACGCCAGAGCTGCTAAATAGAAAAGACAAATGGACCACTCAAACCAGAAAATTAATGTTATCTAAATTAAACCTGTGTAGCATTTTGACAGTTTACACTGTTATACTTTTGATATTAGCCGAAATATAAAATATGTAGCTATCAAGTGGTTATCTAAAAAGTTAGAAAGTAAGTGCAAACATGCTACGATCATCTGTAATAGAGATGTGCACAGCTACCGTTTTCGTACCCGTACCCGACCCGCAGCTGACTTACGCCTAAAAGTTTTCACCTTTTTTTCCAGCTAAAAATTTTTGTTTTTCGGCTGAAGATGTCGAATTATCATTACATTCTCAAGTAATTCTTTTTAACCCTTCATATATTTTAGCTAAACTCCTGTATTTTTCCACTAAAATTGTGTGCGTTTTCCACTAGAACCTTCCGGTTTTCGGGTAAATTAAAAAAAAGTAGAACCCGTACCCGACCTTCGGGTCGGACTGCACATCTGTAATCTGTAATGAACTATTAGCTCCGTTCGACGAAGTGAGCGGAAAACATGAAAAACTGCCCTTGATGGATAAATAAAGCTTACGTAAAGCATGAAAAATTTTTTAGAGAGTGATTAGATCGATCTGCATAGTGGCAGCTGATTTTTAAAGCGTCGCAAGTACTCATCGGCGAATGCAGATAAATGGTAGAACTTTTTCTATCATTTTCAATTTCGTATTTTTTCAATTTATACTTTCTCTTGAGGATTGAATATCCTATTGAAAACTTTCCAGCATTTAGGTGAATAGTGAGACCAATTTACTCTCTTAGATTATAGACGGAAAAAAATCATAGCAACGAAATTATTGCCGTTGAGAATTGAGTTAGAAATTTTGCCTCCCGAAGCTTTTAAAAATACGTCGAAAAAAATGTTCTTTCTCTTAATACTTCTAAACGCATATCGTTTTAATTCAATTATATACTTACAAGAGACCAGAGTGGAGTTATGAACTTTTTAAAGTATAAGCAAGACTCTGGGCTGAGAAAATAGAAAATTCTTAACTTTTGAAAGAAGAGTCATACACCCGAATCCTTTTAGGGTTATCACTAAAACACTATATAGACCGTTGAAATCAGAGTTGGACAGTTGGCAGAGGTCCCTTGTTAGATACCGAATATCACTTGGGTTTTGACAGAAATACTGTGGAAATCTGAAATACAAATTTTTATTCTTTTCTAGGTGTATATATTATAGCAAAAAATGAAAACAGTTCTCTTCCACTTCTGTCTGTGCTTAATCTAATAATATGTTTGTTTTTTCATGTCTGATATTATTAAGACAGATCTATTCTAAACTCGATTTCGAGCTTTTGAGAATTAGATAGGATACTAGATGTTTCTTAGACTCGTGCACATAATTTAATAGTGTGTGATTCTAACTGCTCAATGTATAGCCAGTTATATTTGGACGTTAACAGACTGACAACGATATTTAATTTAGGTACAAGAAGTATATTAAGTGAACAAACAAAAGGAGTAACGACTTCTCCTACATGTGGTGTTGTCGATCAACTGGACAATAGGATATGGACCAACATAGCCACCAACAGACGATGGCCTCGTAGATCGCTAACGTATCGATTTAAATCATATACATCGAAGGATAAAATCGATCCACAAAAACAAAAACAGATAATCCAAAATGCATTCAACGAATGGGCAAAATATTCAAAACTGACATTTCAAATCGTTTGTGATACATGTAAATCAGACTTCGAAATAAGTTTTGTAACCGGTGATCATGGTGATGAACATCCATTTGATGAAAACGATATGTCACATGCATTTTATCCTACTGATGGAAGAATACATTTTAACGATAAAATAAATTGGACTGAATCGTACGTAGAAACTGCACGTAACTGATGCTCATAAACTAAGGTAAGACAGATACTGTATAGCTCCCGTACCTACGAATCCAAAACTTGAACTTTTAATTGTTTCCGCGAATATTCATGAAAACATGAAAGTGTTCGCAAGTAAATTTTTCTTATAACGTAATATAGCGTGAAGTATCGATTATGTTTCGCTAAAGGTAGAATTTTGTTAACGACATTACCGCGATGACCAGCGAACGACACCGCCGCGAAGACTCGTTTATTGCAAAAGAAGAATAAATGAGCCCAATTTTGTATTTTGCATATCATGTTTTCAAACTTGAATGAAGTTATGTGGTGAATAGTCATCATGTGATACAGTTACAGATATCCAGTTTCATTGCTTATCGCGTTTGACCAGTTTTCTCTTCGGTACACGATAAAACGAAGCTCACTATTTATAGCAGGAAGCCGTGACACTACCTTTCCACAAACAGGACCCCGAGTCTTCCACGAATTTTTCATAGCACACATTTGGATATTTTTGACAAAATATATTGTCATGATGCGAAACTGTATATCTGTAACTGTATTACATAATGACTACTCACCACATAACTTCATCCAGGTTTCTAAACATAAAGTAAGGTACCGCTAATTCGAATTTTCCACACCATTTTATTTTTGACTTAATTATACATCAACCGATAGAGCTCGGCGAACTGATTAAGAATATCCACATTTTAGCTTTAAAACGCTGGTTTTTAAATGAAATAACTTCAAAATACTAGAAGGGTCTCAAATTTCGAAAAACCCTTCGGTTTCAAAAAAATCCAAATTATTTCATTTTACATTCTTCTAATCTTTTGAAAATATTTTTTCGGATTCAGCATTAAAAACTGAGTATGAGAATGATTTTTGATCGAGGTTGAAGTCAAAGGTCTATCCAGTATGGACTTTTCATTTCATTAGAACCGTCATTAAACGAGCTTTAAAAGTACGGAGAGCTTTCTTTAAAATTCCTTTCCATGAGAAATTTTACTTTTTCCAAACCAGGAGCGAAAAAATCGAAATTCTCCCCGTAATTCTCAATTTTCACCACCAGAACTCACTTTTTATGCAATAAAAGTATCATATTCGGAGTCAGCGTCCAAAGCTGAGTCGAATAATGTACCTTTTTATCCTATCCAACCACTTTTGTTTTTTTCGAATTGTCACGTCGAAAAATGAATTATTTTAATTATTATGAAATTTTCATCAAAACATGAAAATCAACGGAAATTTTCAAATCATATATCATTCGGCTCAATTTGGGACCCTGACTCCGAATAGGCGATAAAGAATGGACTGCTGTGCATTTTGCTTACATTTTCTTCGACTTTAGTCAAGCTTTTTTGCAAAAGCTTGTCTGTTATCTACGAAATCATTTTGTGACAAACGATCTAGAAAAAAGATTAGAACGCAAATACCGCGAAGTTTCGAACTTGATTACTTTCCAGCTAGAAAAACGTTTACTCAACTCAAATTTTGAAGT